TGACATTCAGCACCCTCATTTCATTGGCATTCATGCTACTTCTTGCACTGTTTACCAGACGCCCTGGTGTTAATTGTTAGTGGAGTGCTGTGCCCGAGGGGCTGACTTATGTGCTGACTTGCACTATCTGATTACGCATTCATTTGCTTAACTGTTGGAAAGGATATTTTCAAAAGAAGTTTTAACTCAGTCCAGATATTTTATAAAGGATTTTCACGGTTTTACTGTTTTCTCAAAGATTTGCACTGTCTTATATCACATGATGGAGTGCTTTTACGTGATTTCTTACCGCTCAGTTATTATTTACTTTTATTGCTCACTGAGTTGGAGTACTCACTTTACTCCCTGCACCTCGCGTGCAGTTGCAGGTATTGTTCACCCGGTAGCGGGTTATTAGCTGATTGAAGGTATTACTATTGTAGCTGAGTAAGGTGACCGCCAGCGTTCGCGGCACCGGACGTTGTCTTTAGCATTCCAGTATTTATTTTTTGTATAATATTGGCCATGTAGTTGTGTTCAGGTTTCTTTAGATGCTCGTGACTTGTGACACCCCAGTCGGGTTGTGTTGGATTGTAAATACTGGTTATTATTGTCGTTAAGCTGTATTTATCTGTTCATTTATGTTTAAAAATTGTTAAAGAGACGATTTGGGTTAGTTGGCCGGCCTTGTCTTCACGAGAGGCGCCATCACGACCGGGTTTGGAAATTGGGTCGTGACATTCAGTTGGAATCAAATTAGCAATTTTATGTGTATGTGGAAATGTAGCATTATTTTTCGTGTGGATTGGTCCTATTTGTTGGGTATTAACATCTGAAATCTTCCCTTTAAGACTTAGAGCCCAAGCATCAGCTCTTGGTGCAGTGGAAAGCAGGGTTAGCTCTTGTGTATGCACAGGCAATAAAATCCAGTTATTTGAAATCGGTCCCGATATACAATATTATAATAAGTCATTTGTATATGTAAAGGAATATTGCGTCTGTTGCACCATCTTTAGTTCTCATCACGAAGATCTTTTCATCAATGGAAAGAAGTCTTTAACTTCCAAAGAAGGGATTAGGTAGCAGACTGCTCCAATGAACATTTCCTTCAAATTTGGAGCAATTATCACATAAGTACTACGGTGAGATAAAAGATCAAATATTGTCCAATATGAATCATATTGCATCAGATGTTACTTTTGATACATCTCTAACTCAAGGTAAATACATTTCACATATTGCATCTATCGTTTTGGTTTTGGACATAAATGGAATTTTTTACAGCTTATGCTCTTGGCATTTATATATAGATTCCAACAATCAAATTTGCAAGATACATTGCTACAACTTGACTTCTTTTCAGGAAGGACATATTTGGATTGTTGCGACTGTAGTGAATCTTCTACTTGAAAAAGAATGGTCATATTTGGGGTGCAAGAGATGCTCGAAGAAGGTTGACAAAATTGGAAGTAAATTTCATTGCAAGAAATGTGATCGCCTTGATAGTTCTGCCACTCATAGGTTTGAAGAAGCCAGTATTTACTCATGGACAACTGTATGTTGCTTTTTCACGCGTGACGAGTAGAAAAGGGTTAAAGATTTTAGTTTATGATGATGATGATGGCCAAATAACGAATGAAGCTAGAAATGTGGTGTATAAAGAAGTTTTCCGTAATTTGGTTTGAGATAAATCTAGACATGATGGAATTATCAGGTATTTAAAATATCTTTTTCTGATTTCTGTAATTGCTTTAGCTTTTGAGTAAATATTACTGTTTGCACAGTTTGGGATTAGAAAAGGATTGATTTATGAAATAGCCCTTTGGCTTCGTCTCTGTCTTTAGTTAGGGTAGTCTGATGTTTTTTTTATTTTTCTTTTGTTCCGGATGAAGTTGTATTTTCATACAGCAAGGCTTATTTCATTGCCTATTTAGTAATGGTGTTACTGGGTTGTTGTTGTTGTTGTTTCAAGTTTGAACACCGAGAATTCCTGACTTAGCGAATGACCGAGGACCAAAGAAAGTGAAACTGACGCAGCTTATGGTTATAAATCAAAAGTCATTTTTTAATACTCTGTTCTCATGCTCGAAATCTCTTGGTGCAGGACATCACATTTCCAACTCTCAACCAACTTCCCCTGAACTAAGAATATTTGACTTCCACTTTCCACCTTAAACCATCTGCTGTATGGTTTAGCTAAGAGGTTGATGACAATAGATTTGGCTGGATTTGCATAGTCACTATGTAGCCATTAGTCAACATATGGCTGGGAGCAGCACTAGGATAGGTGGCGGGAAAAAACGCAAGACATCAGATGCTGGGACAACCTTAATCATAAATTTGGATGACGACGATTTAGGAGAGACAACTTCTACTGCAGGGGCATCATTAACACAAAACTTGATTGATGATTTGGAAGGTTGGGCATGCGATTCGTGCACATTTCTGAATGCTAGCTCTGCCACGGCATGCCTAATGTGCAGTGAAGATGCTTCCGGCAGTTGGGAATGTGAAATATGTACATTTGTCAATAAGAAGCATGCTTCTGTATGCCAAATGTGTGAGCACCGTAGATAAATTCCTTGCTTGCATCTAAAAATAAATGGCTGCTCGAAGGATACTCTTGGTTACAAGTTAGTTTTTGAATTGTTGCTACCTTACTGTTTTACCAGTCTAATGTTCTTTTTGGTCGATAGCTGCCTAAAAGTTTCATATTGCATTTGTTGGATGCATAGGCTTTAGTAGTAGTATATTTATGCATATATGGGGTTCCTGGTATTTATANAGAGTCGTGGAATTTTGGCTATTAAGGTTCATGGAGTGTCATTGTGGTTAGATGGTGAATTATGCGATGCATGGTGCTAATTCAACAAAGGTACGCAGTCATGTTTTGGTACCTCGTGTGGTAGTTGATACAGTGTTTATATACAGGGGACAGGTCTGGCAGAGAATTTTAGGTGTTGGAATTGGGTTCTGAGCTTATTGTATGGATAAAAGAGGATATCTGCAGATTTGATCAAACTAATGTGTCCATATGAGTTGTGGTGCACGAGGTGTTAAACAGTGATTTCAGATAACTTAAGAGCAGTTCTTGGAACGTTCGAGGACGAACGTCTATTTAAGTGGGGGAGAATGTAACGACCCGATCGGTCGTTTTGAGCTCTAGCGCGTCGTTCAGCAGTTGGAAGTCATGAACAGCTTCATTTCAGGTATATTGACTTGTGCGTATGGTCAGAGTTGAATTTCGGGAAATTCGGAGTCAAATTGGAAATAAAATTTTCATTTCGGCAGCCTTAAGTTGAAGAAAATGGCTAAGATTGGAATTTTGAGTAAACGACCTCGGAATCGGGATCTGAAAGTTCCAGCAGGTTCGTATGATGATTTCGGACTTGGGCGTATGTCCGGATTTGGTTATGATAACCCGTGAGCATTTCGGCGTATATTGTTGAAGTTAGTATTTTAGAAGAATTTCATAAATTTGGGTTGGAAGGCATTTTAGTGTTATAGATGTCCGTTTGGGATTCCGAGTCTGGGTATAGCTCCATATGGTGATTCTGGAGTTGGGAGCGCGATCGGAAGTGAATTCGGATGTCCGGAGGCCATTTTGAAGTCATTTGGCTAAATATAGAAATTTGAAGGTTTTTTTTGAGAAAATTCGACCGGAAGTGGAAATTTTGATATCGGGGTCGGAATGCGATTCCGAAAGTTGGGGCAAGTCCGTAATGTCGAATGTGACTTGTGTGCAAAATTTGAAGTCATTCCGGAATGCTTTTGGTAAGGTTTGAGACACTTAGTCTCTTTTAAGGAAGCTTAAGTTGGAAAAGTCAACCAGATATTGACTTATGTGTTAGAGGGCTCGAAATGTGAATTGTATGGTTCGGATAGCTTCATTAGGTGATTTGGGACTTAGGAGTGTGTCCGGAATATTTTTGTGATGACCGGTGTAGAATTAAGCTTGAATTGACAAAGTTAGTATTTTGACGAATTCCGGTTGATAGGTGAGATTTTGATCCGAGGGTCGGAATGGAATTCCGAGAGTTGTTGTAGCTTCGTTATGTCATTTTGGACTTGTCTGCAAAATTTGAGGTCATTCGGACGTGATTTGGTTGGGTTTTTGATCAAAAATGAAATTTGGAAGTTCTTGAGATTCATAGGCTTGAATCCGATGATGATTTGATGTTTTGGTGTTATTTTTGGTGTTCCGAAGGTTGGGACAAGTTTGAATGATATTGTGGGACATGCTGATATAATTGGTTAAGGTCCCGAGGGCCTCGGGTGGATTTCGGAAGGTTAACGGAATGGAATTTGGACCCAAAGGAAAAGAAAAAGCTGCTGCAATTTCTGCTGCTAAGCTGTCTTTGGACAGCAAATGTGCAGTCGTGGAGCGTACTTCGGAGGCCTATATCTTTTGATCTACAAGGAATTTTGAGATGATTCAAAAACGAAAGTTGTAGCCCTTCGTGTCTAGTTTCCAGAAAGCTAAAGAAATCGTAATTTGGACATACATAGAGGAAGTTATGATCGATTGAAGATGACTGGTGGAGCAGTTTCTCCAGAATTTTCTGATTTCATGGAGCCGACTTTAGAAGCTCATATCTCGGGATATATAAAGAGTTACATGGTGTACAACCTATCAAATTAAAGATCTTCGAGTCTAGTTTCTAAATCTTCAAACCGTTTGTCATTTGGATATTTATACAAGACGTTATGGGTGTTTAAACAGAAGGTGTCCGACAAGGGAAAATTTTAATAGGATGTACAACTTGTATAGCACAAGTACAAGGTACAACTCGACGAAGCACGGGCAGATTCTTTAAACACGGGTTTGGCTTATTTCTTTCATTTCATTTGGCTTGGATGATTTTGGAGAGAATTTCAAGGGGGATTTCATCAAGCATCAAAGGTGAGTTGTTTCTACTTATTTCCAAGTTAAATACATGATTATTATGTGAAATTAACCTAGAAATTCATGGAATTAAGCCTAAAATTGATGAACTAGGGCTTGGGATTTTGAGACATACCAATTGGGCATCAAATTGGCAGCTACAAACAACCAATAGCCAGTACTCCCAAGGATCAAAGCATTCTTTGATCCAAGCTTCCTAACCACCAATGAAGCAAATATTGAACAGAACATAAATGACAAATACAATATCCCCAGTGCAGTTGTCCCTAAATTTCCTTCCTGAAACACAAAAAAAAAAACCTCAAAACTCAATCTCACTTCATGATTCAAACAAAATCATGCAAATTCAATCCAAAATCAACATTTTCACACTTAATAACCCCAGAAAATTCATAACAAAAGAACAGTCTCAAAACACCATACCGTATTAATAGTGCTTTCAAGATTCTGAGCAGCCCCATAAGCCAAGAAAATCAATAAAAAGGCACAGCTTAGAATATGAACATCTCTTTCATGATTCACAATTGGGTTTTGATTTTTGGAATTTTCAACTACGAGGGGTGCTTCCTCATCAGTAGCCATTGAGACAAAAAAGTATCAAGATTGAATTTTTCGAATTTTGAACAATACCCACAAATGAATTTATGCACACAAGTGTATATATACAGTGTTTTTTTTAAGTCAAAAGAGAGAGAAAAGTGAATAACAGAGTTTGCCGGCAAAGTAGTATGAAGAAAAGAACATAAAGAAAGAGCTTAAGCTCCTCAAGTATGACAATAAGAAAGCTTCAGCGCCCATGGTGGGTAAGAGAAAGACAAAGAAAAATAGTGATAATTTTCTTGTTTTGCAGTAATTAATGATTAATGTTTGTTGATAATTTTTTTTTTCCCATTTTGAATATGGACCAATCAAGATTCTTTTTTTTTTACAAGGAAAGAGACAAAAGGTTGAGATCATTAAAGTAGCAACTTTTAGGAATACAAAAGAAGTATTTGTATGACTCATCATTCAAAAATGAATCAGATCTTAGCCCATTAAGTGTATTTGTTTTTTTATTTATACACTATATTAAAAGCACGAAGAAATATCCTTCGCCTTTTTTACCCTTTAAAAATAGATTTCACAATGAACAAAATCGTAATTTAATAAAACGAAAATATTTTATTAAAAATAATTTTTTTCTATTTTACTATTTTTTTCAATAAAAAAAATGCTTTAAAAATTGAAAAAAATAAATTTTTTTTTTGTAAAAACTGATTTTTTTTTTGTAACAGAAAGGAAAAAAAGACTTTACTCAATTAGTGGACTACTGGTGCATTAATTCAAAAAAATAAAAATATCTGCAAAATATTTTTTTAAGTAATTATTTTTAATTCAGCATTGACCTAACGGTGAAAGGGCATAAGTGAACCATAAAGGTAAATGAAGGGGTATTTTTAGCCCAATAGGTGGATGAAGGGTATTTTTAAATCTTTTCTAATAGTTTAGGAGCATTTTGAACCCTTTTAATAATAATATTACTAAATGAAGCTAAAAGTCATATATCTTGTATGAATACTATTATATAAATAAGCTAGTACGAAAGACAAAAAAGACAACATCATAGTTTTTGCGCCTTTGATTTAGAAATATTTATAAAGACAATAAATATTTTTATACAAAATCTTTAATTGCGCCTTTGATTTAAAAATTTATATTTTTTAAAATATGTGCCTTTGAAATTCTTAAATAAGAAATGAACATAAATTACTTAACAAGAAGTATTTTGAAAAGTAATACTGCACAAATTCGTCAGTTATTCTTTCTATCTAAACAATTTTAAAAGGCTTAACTTTTACTAGAAGCCATAACAATAACAATAACAATAATAATAATAATAATAATAATAATAATAATAATAATAATAATAATAATAATAATAATAATAATAAGAAGAAGAAGAAGAAGAAGAAGAAGAAGAAGAAGAAGAAGAAGAAGAAGTTGGGACTTCAATATTACTACCCGAATGGAAAATCAATGAAAAGCTTTATCATAAAATTTTTTGTAATATTATTTGATTGTATAAATATTTTTCTTTTGGTCAAATTCAAATTTTAGCCAATTTTTATATTCCTTATTCTTTATTTTTGGGCTCAAACCTTTGAAATTTCATTTTCTCAAATAACCCACCTTCTCAGAATTTGATTTTCCCTCTTTCTATTTTTATTATTACCTTAGTAAGGAATAAAACCCTGGCAAAAATTAGGGGTGTGCATTCGAATCGGTTTATCGATAAATCGAATCGATTATTTGTTATCGAAATCGAAATTGAAAAAATCGAAACCTTATTGAAACGATAACGATAAGCATATGTACAAATCGATAATCGATAAGTAATTATCGATAAGGGTCAAAATCGAATCGATAAATCGAATGCACACCCCTAGACTGTAGACACTTGTTAAATGAGTAATTACCTATTTGTGTAGATTAATATAACATTCAGAATGTATATATATTCCGCTACTATTTTGAAAGCGGCTATACAATATTATTTTCCCTAATCTATACCCTTTCCTTTACCCTAATTTCCTTACCCTATTATTTCCTCTACAATGAAGTTCAAATTAATGGAAAACAGAATTAGCCGTGATGATGTATTTTGTTTTGTTTTGTTTTTTTATACCGTTGGAGTGTTGGTGGCATACATTTGATCCCTTACTTTAATTTTGTTGCATGTGCTTGTTGACATAATTTTTATATTATAAATGGTGTTCGTCTTATTTTAGCTTCTTTTTGTCCATATTAGTTAGGCGCGTTTATAGCGATATACTTTCCGTGGAATCCCGTAAATTTTTTTATTGGTGTAATCGATAACCGAATCGATAAGCCCCAAAATGATAGATCGAAATCGAAAAAATCGAAACCTTATTGAAACGATAACGATAAGCATATGTACAAATCGATAATCCGTAAGTAATTATCGATAAGGATCAAAATCGAATCAATAAATGGAATGCACACCCTACAAAAAATTGCACTTTGTGCTTTAGGAACAAGGAGAGCAAAAGCTTGCAGGTTGTTCTAGAATCTTCCATGGAGGAACCAGCGAAAGGGACGGTGACGTCACTGTCGTCATTGTTTCCGGTGGAATGGAAGAAGCCCAGAAAGCATCGAAGCGCGTGCAGGACACGATTGCCGACCGCCAGAAACAGCTAGACCTGCTCAGAGATTTCGCCGTTGACAATAGTAACCTTATCAACCTTGTTCAGCGTCTCCCTGATCAGCTTCACCACGATATCATGGTAATTTTTCATACCTTTTTTTTCCCTTTAATGTCGATAGCGTTTATGAAATTTACATTATTAGGTACTTTAACTTATATACACGGATAGTGTTCACATTTTTCACTCTATTAGGTCCCTTTAACTTGTATACACTACAGTGTTAAAGAATTTTTACACTATTAGGTCGCTTTTGCATGTTGTAGGAGGTAATCTGTCTTATTTTCATTATGAAGGGCTTTTTAACATTAGTGTATATAAGTTAAACTCTTCTATTTATGATTAGTGTAACTGTTTGCTTACAAATTTTCAGGTTCCGTTTGGAAAAGCAGCATTTTTTCCTGGTCGTTTGGTTCACACCAATGAATTTCTGGTAATTTCTTCAATAATTTGATGTTTGTCGGGGCTTTTAACCTTTTCTTGTATCAGTCAGCACAATTAATAGAATTAAGAGAAATAAATCAAATTTGCCCATGCACTATTTGAAATTGCTCAATTTTTTTTTACCTTTCGGTTCACTTTTGGTCCATTCATACCCTGCCACTAGGAAAGAGTCTTGTATCTAATCTTGAATTCTAATGGAGCTCCGACATGACAGTTAATTACAAATCGTAGTCAAAAATAGAAGGGTAAATATTTTGAGTCGTGGAGTCTGCCTATTTCACCTTGGTGCTCCGTTAGGGGTGAAAGGCATATACGAGACTTTGGTCATATGAATGACCAAAAGTGAAACGGGGGCTAAAATGGAATAATTTTGAATTGAATAGGCCAAATTGACTTTTTATATTGAGATTAGAGCTTCTAGCTATATGAGCTTCACGAAGCGTAGTTGAAGGACTGCAGTAGGTTGGCCGCAGCATAAATAGTTTAGTTAGATATATGAATGGACCTGAATAAATAGTTAGCTATGTGATGAATAATCTGAACGGACCAGGATAGAGCATTAGTTTAGTTGATCACAACTAATTTGAGATTGAGACCTAGTTGATCGATATTGAATTAGAGCTTCAGGACTTATCTTTTGAATTATGCATGAGTTTATGACAATTACCGCAGAAAACAAAGACATAAACTGTTGGCGCCTTTTTATTTTGAGGAGAAAAAAGGTTGCTAAAGATAGTTGAATGACAAAGATTTGACTTAGCATGCTTTATCTCACTTTAGATTAGCTTATCTGTTTTTGTTTGGAATTCAATGATACATATAGTCACCTTTCTCCTTTCTTGATTTAAAATGTTCCTGTGAATACCCTTCATCGATTAGAAGCTATTTCTTGTCATCGAATTCCCTGGTAGCTTAACTGAATTTGAATTGCAATCATATTTTTGAGTTTCTGAATGGGGTGTTTACTTTACAACTGTCAATTTTGATAATTTGCGACTTTTTTGGCGTACTTGCAGGTTCTCTTGGGAGAGGCTTATCACGCTGAAAGGACATCCAAGCAAACGACTGAGATACTGAAAAGAAGAGGGAAGGATTTGGAGTCCCAAGTGGAATCTGTAAAGGCTGTGATACAAGACCTTAAGTCCGAGGCTTCATTTTTTGATGCTACTGCTTCTGAGGCTGCGGTATGCCTGTTTGTTCTGTCATTGGATGTTTTATCTTGAATGGTAAGTTAGCAATACATGATAATAAAACCACAGTGCTCATTAGTTGCAGTGAAACTCGATTTTTGACGGTAACATGAGATAAATGAGTTCAACTTGAGTGTGACTGATGCTTTAATCATTAGGAATTGCTTAGTAGGGTCCTTAAAGTTTTCAAAAGATTGTTGTTCATTTACTGGCAGTGGAAATTTTCAACCATCCTTAGTTTAATATGGATGATGCTTACCTGGCTAGCGTGTGAATTAAGTGATAGCCATTAGCCATTTTTATTTGTGCGTATTGAAATGCATTTGCATGTGAGTACCACATATGTATTAGCAGGCAATTTTCATATTTTGCTTGGCGGTAAAAACTTGCTTATTTAATCCTTTTTCAGATATTGATTGCTTATATGGACAATTTATGAATTCGATGGATCGAACCGACCTTTGACAGGAGGGCCTTGTAGAGATCAGAGAGGACTATGCTGAGGAAACTTCTCCTGAAGGGTCATCCACAGTGGGCATGTTTCCACCTCTTACTATTTCTAGGCTACATAGAAATATTTTTAATATAGTCATATTCCAGTTTCTGTTTGAAATATTGACAAAAGTTTGTACTGGTTGATTTTCCAGGCATCCAGAAACCTGAGCTTCCAATTTCTTCTGAAGGAGACAATGCTGAACTTGCAGTTGAAGATGAGGAATATGCTCGCATTTTATCCCGGATTGCCGAACTTGAGAAGGAAGAAGAAGAGGCTGAAAATGACAAACTTGAGAAGGAAGAAGAAGAAGAAGCTGAAATTGACAATAACTTCAATGAAGAAGAGCTGGGTAAATCCGGATCAGATGTCGGCACAGGTCAACACATCCGGGACCAAGAGATAAATGATTCTGGGGTAGGTTGCTGGTCATTGACTTTAGATTCAAAGATTGAATTATGGAATGGTTCAATGTATAATTTCATTGTTGTTGCTAAATTCCATTTGGTATTACTATTTAGGTTCATGGTTCTAGTAATCTCAAGGAAAGAGCAGCATCTTCAAGAAATCACTCCACTGAAGGTTTTCCTGAGCAGTTGCACGTACGAACCCGTCCTTTGGAACATATATTCCGGAATTAAATAATTGTCAGTTTACTGTTTTTGTTAATAGAGCTTCCCTGCTCCAAGTAATTCCCTACATTGTTTGAATCATTCTTTTCTTTTAATTAATCCATGTGAAATTTTGAAATGCAGGTTGAAAGTTCAAAACCAGTAACTAAAGGTAAGCCCTTTCCCAAGATTTTTTTTATTAAACTATCTATGTTCATGTGCCCGCTTCCTGCTGGATTTTTGAAAATTTACTTGGATAGGTTGATAGAAATATGTAGGTGACGATCTCTTCATTTTGATACTTGGTTGTAAACAACTGGGTAGACTGAGTTACTTTATGTTACATTCAAGAACCTTTCTGGAAATTTGTCGTAGTAAATGATAATACCTTCCAAACTAACAAGCCTTCTGAATATAGTATTAACTTTGTCCGTCAACTACACTCTGCTAATGAGGCCCTTAATGTTGGTGCTTTGTCTGTTTTCTCTAGTGATATCCTATACAATATTTAGGGTGAGTAACATTCTTTGAGAGATGAAACCAAAAGAAAGTGTGATTTATTCTCTGTGTTTCATGTCCCATTTATAGTTATTGATAAGTATTATTTTCATTAAAAGGCTTGAAGCTAGCCTTATTGCCTGCCCTGAATCAATAAAGTTCTTTTGTTATTTTCTTGATTTCAAGACTCTTCGTCTTTTGTTTATCTTTGCGGAATTGGTTTCTAATGAAGCACGTTGAAGTAAAGGGGGGGGGGGGGGAGGGGGGGGGAAGACATTGGAAATGACATTGTAACTTGATGGATTTCTACTTGACCTTCTTTCTGTTGCCGGCAAATGCATTTTGGTCTTTTTAGATCTCCATATTATAGTTAAACAGAATCATGTCCATATCTTATTCAGTGCGTGCTTCAATGTGCGTATATTTGCATTTTTCATTTCATCTTCAAATGCTTTTATGCATTAATCAGGTGAATACTTAGCTGGGAGCCTCGCTTATGACAAGTCCAATATAACTGAGAGTGCTCCAAAACAGAATCGAATGAAGGAGGATACTAATGTTCCCATTATAGCTGAAAATAAGGTTCGAATCTGTCCATTTAGTTCACTCTTATACACCTCTTCTGTTTTTATCTTCTTTTTTTCCGGGAGTTGGGAGACAAAGAATGGGTCAACCACATTAAATGACGACAATTGCGTTTCTGTTTTATGTTATTCCTTAAATTGCAAATGACGTCTTGGTTTGTTCATGTTGTCTGTTAGTGCCCTTGCTGTGCTCAGTGTTCCGCTATGATGCATATCTGTTTGTGTATTCATGTCGTATGCAAAAATACTGTGGTCGTTGAGCACATATTCTTTCTTGTGGCAATTGGAGGAAAGTAAAATGGACCTGCACTTTTCATTTGATTGCTTTTGTCAAAAAAAATGTCATTATCGCATGGCACCAAGTCATTTTGCAGGACAATCATTGCATTATTTACAGTTGTATGCATGTTTTGCCTTGTATTAGACTTAGAGGAATATGATTTAAATGCTTTGCCTGGATGCCTTTTCCTGTACCTCCTAACCAGAAGTAAGCTACATTCCCACACAATTATTACTTTTTACTCAAGATTAGCCGATAATACCACTGTGCAGGCTTTTACTGGAAGTATTGTTGAACGCGCTGGTGCCTTTGATATCAAGCCAAGCGAGCAGACCGTTGGTCGTTGTTCAAAGCCAGTATCAAGGTTCAAAATGCAGAGGAAATAGTTGGCGTTCGTAGCACATGAAAGTCAAGTGTGCAGTGATCTTTAGTGCTTTGTCTCGTAGATGAAAAAAGATGTCTATTTCGGTTGAGTGCTTGATTTTGGACATTCTCTTGTCGAAAAATGCCGATGTCGTATTTTTGCAAGTTCAAAATTTTCAACCTTGAACTTAACAACATTAGTAGAAATGGTTAGTTTTACGCACCATCATGGAAGATACTTAGACCATGATATTAAGGGATCCTGGCTCTCCATCATTATACCTCCTCTCCATTTCCTCAACGTTTTTGCTGCCAAGGTGGGTTGCTCTGATGGTATGCACCCTCCGCTTCCAACCAAGAGGTTGTGAGTTCGAGTCACCCCAAGAGCAAGGTGGGGAGTTCTTGGAGGGAAGGATGTCGAGTGTCTATTGGAAACAGCCTCTCTGCCCTAGGGTAGGGATAAGGTCTTCGTACACACTACCCTATTGTTGTTTTTGCTGCCGTTGGGATCTGAATCTTGTGGTTCTCAGCTCATTTCATCGACCACTAGATTACACCCTTAACTTAACCGTGTTAAAGAGGATAGATTTGAGGAATGTATTCTCTAACTTTGATAAAGAAATCTTTATCTCCATAAAATTTGGATTCATTAGTATCATTACTTTATTTTGTGTTTGTAACAGCCAGAGTGTTGTCGACCCTAGTATGTTTCAAGATTTTGTTGCCTACTAGTATTACGTACCGTATTGATTACCATAAAAATATTATCAGCAAATGATAAATGTAAGAGTTCAGGGACATCTCTAAAAACCTTTCAAAACCAATAATATCCCAAATTGACTGCTTAACAATAGAACACAAGGAATTGGGAAATCACTAATACTAATAACGGAAACAAGATTGGCTAGCTTCTACGGTCAAACCTCTCAATTACAGCATCGTTTGTCCAAAATTTTTTGGATGTCATAGCGAAGTGTTGTTATAGAGAACAATATTATAACATAACATAAAATTGGTTCCAAAAAAGCTTGGCTTTATAGAGAAGTGATGTTATATAGAGATCCTGTTATAGAGAGGTTTGATTGTATAAGAAAATTACGATGTCAAGTTTTAATCACATGTAAGAAAAGATAGTAAAGTCAAAAAGAAAAAGAAAATAGGGATGATCAGGGAGCTCGTCACCTAATTTGGTTGCTACTAGTATAATTATCATGTTTCTAGACAAGAAATAACCTTAGTTTATTGGTTTTGTTGAGTTTTAAGTTAGGCCGAGTTCAATTTTACTTAATAACAAATTCTAACCACAGGCTCTCTCCAATATTTGCAAAAAATATGTGCTAGTTGAGGTTCGAACCCCTAACCTCTCAGAACAAAATCTAACACATAATCAATGTGCTGGGAGATAATCTGTACATGTCAAGTGGTGTCAGTTTGTCCTAGTAATTGTGTCCTCACATCATTAATACATGTATTTAGTAAAGTTTTTTGGCGAACCGGTATTGCGTGAACATGCGTATGCCCCTAATTGCACCGGAGCAGAGTTTATCCAGAGCGCACCTGACGAGTAACAGCTGCAAGTTTCCTAGTTTACAAAAAGAAAAAAATGCTAGCAGAATATAAATCGCTAATGATCCGAAAGTGTTAATTATAACTAGTATCTGTACCCGCGCGTTGCGCAGTGAATATTAAATATAGTTTTTCATAAAAAAATATTACTTGTAAATATGGTAGACACAAAAGAGCATGCAAATGCTATTATTTTATGAATATGTAAATCCACTGGATTTTCAAACACTCAAGTCATAAGGAAAAATATGTATCCATTAAAAAATAGCTAGTGAGGAAAGCATTCATAAGAAAATACAATCTTGGATAATTGGCCATATTCTGATTCTCAAACAAATCTATTAGTAGCATTTGAAAAAGGTTGTTTTTACTACACAATATGTTGGTACAAATTAATAAAGTTCATGTTAAAGCACAAAACATAATATTCTTTGACCCGGTTTCAAACCGGCAAGCATTGATGAAATTGACCTTTAAATTTCAGCCACTGAAAACAGAATGAGCTCTTGGTATACAAATTCAGTGTATGAAATGCACATCTTTCTAGTTTAGATGGGTATCAGGCTGCAAAGCATAAAAAATAGAGAATGATAAATCAAATTAAAAAATTTTGGATGTATGCTAATCAAACTACAATAAAAGTATTAAAGGTCCCAACCTCAAGTTGTCTACGCCAAATCTTCCTTGCTTCTATCTTCTTTTGATTGAAATCATGTTCTATTAGATTCCCCATCCTAGTTACCTGTCCAGACAATTTTTTCCTTATGTCTAAAGATCTTGAAAGTACTCGTTTCCTTATTTTGAAGTACTTGTTCCAAACCTCTATAAAAGCAGTAAATTAAACAATTAATAGAGAGTGATAGTTTATAAAATGTCTTGTATAAAACCTTATAATAGTACTTAATGGACCAACCACTTTAATTGCCACCCAAAGTCTATCTTCATGACTCAAACCCACACATAGTATAAAATGACAGTATCGTCACATTTGTGTAATTAGCATCAAAATGCCTTATAGTGATTGGTCAAGCCATGAAATAATTATTTAGCTGTAGAAAATACATATTATATATAAGGATCTGAATTTAAAGATAAAAATATGTCCTCGAATAAATTAAAATTGATAAGTTTTGTTATGCATAATAGAAAAGATACAATCAAATATAGATTAGAAGAAGACTTCAGTCTAATCCAATATGTAAGTAGTTATTTAAAAATGAAGCTAAACACTTTCATATCTATTGCAAATAATTTATCTTTTTATTTAAATTCAAAAAAAATCTTTTTTTATTCAAATTCAAATTTATATTATATTTTTATTAACTTTTGTCCTAAGATTTAAAAGTTTTCCATAATGCACGAAAATTCTCTTGAATATGAATTTAAAAGGAAAAAGTAAAATATAGATTCGTAATCTACAAAAAAATGATTTATTGACTAACCTGTATACATCATGTTTAGTTAAAAGTAATGCGTCAATATTGAATATTTTTACGAAATATATTATTTTACCTTTTTAGATTGTGATTTGACATTTAATCGTGATTAAAAAATGGTGTCAGAATAAAGGACTCCTAGAGTCAGTAGAAAATATTCCATACATGAATGTGGTTTTTCAAGAAAAATTAAGAAAGTATAAACGACAATTAACTTAGATAATATTTTTACTATAACATAAAAAGATAAAGAAAGTAGAGTTATGAAATTATGTACATATTACAAAACTTTATGATAAACATTTCATTCTATCATTTTGTAGTCATTCTGTTAATCCAATTTTTATTTTATCAATATCATTTGTTACAGTCAATATAACATCCACTTTGGAAAAGTCCTTCTTGTGTATCTAAAAACTCAGCACACAAAATTGCGCAATGCCAAATGAAAGATTAGTGCACATAAAAGTGTATTGTTGCTGAAACTGATATGTAAAATCAGTAAACAGAAAGTAAAACATCTTGCTTAGATAAGAAAATTCTACAAAGAAAATATATAGTTTTCAAGCCTTTCATCAGCTTCCTTCCCTCCCATTGAAAACAAACGTAACCATTCCACAGAAAATGTAGAAAGAAGATCTTTAAGAACATGTATAACAGAATCCTTAGATAACTTAAATATGAAAAAATTGAAATATCTACCATAATTGTTCAATAATCATCTGACATATTGTTAAGTTGAACCTTTACCTTTTATAGGCATAACTGTAAATTCTTCAAAAATTTAACTTACCTTTCAAAATATTTCATGAGTATAAAATTAGAATAGTTTTCTCCAATGAGTTGCTCTGCATAAAGAAACAAAGAAGAAGAAATAGAGGAAAGCAGAAAAGAAGTAAGTGAAAATAGAAAGGACAGCTACCAACAGAAAAAGACATAAAAACGATGAATAATGCAACGGCAAAGCATTATTTAAAATTCCATATTTGAAAACTTGATCTCCTTCTTATAACCATGACCAAACAAATGAAGAAGATAAGGGGAAAAAAAGAATTAGAGAAATACTGAATTGGTGAAGATTCTTACTCGCACAATTAATCAACAAATTTACTTGTCTTTTTGCTCCAAGTTCTTTTGAAACAATGACCTGCTATCCAAACCACTCCTTGAACTAAACACAAATGTAAGTACATTCAGATTTTGAATTAAGCAACCAATCATTAACCAAGTTGCAATAGTGAAACTTTCTACCTTCAGATGAAAAGTGAAAAAAGAAAAACTTTCTACCTTCAGATCATCTTTTCCGTTAAACTTCTTCTCCGTTGTTAATTTGTTCTCTGGCTTGAGTGCCACTGCAATTGAAACTATGGAATTGAAAATTATGTGTTTGGTTGAAACGGCAGGGGAAAATATGAAGGTTTTTTCTTGAAACGGTGATTAAAATAATTGTAACTGTTGCCTTGTTTATCTCCTAATTATTAGGAGTTGTAACTGCACTTAAATGTGAACTTTTAAAATTTGATAGTAATTGTTTGATTACTTTTAACTAAAAAAAAGAAGAAGCTTAATTTCCAATTCTAACCAATGAACAAAATAACTGCCCAACATGGGAGGCAGTATCCCTTATTTTTTTGTGAATTCGTTGGACGAATTTTTTTTTGCCTATTTTCTAGTTCCAATTTCAAATTTCAAATTAACTCCAACTTTATTGGAGATATGTCTTAAAAAATGATACTTGTTAAATTGTAGTTATACCACTTGCCATCATTACATTCTTTTGCTTCTCTTTTTATATATAGATAGGTAGATAATATTCCAGGTCAATAAAGGTATATATAACTGATTCTTTTAAAATTTTAATTGAAGATGATTGAATCTATAACGAATTATTCTTAGAATGCACCTAACCATATGGTTATTATTAGCTATAACAAAAAATAAGGGGAATCTACACAGAGTATTCATAAAATCTAAACTAATTATCTACCCTCAAACTAATTACAAAGACTACCCAAACGGTAAAAATTAATTACCCCCTTCACTTATCTTCTGCCAAGGCGTTGCATTCACAAATCATGACATCATTGTTGCTATGTCCATCTTTCCCCATTTCTCATTTATGTGCTTAACTCATTATTTAGTACAACTATTTTATAGAAAATATGTAAAAATCACTACTTTCTTAAAATATATTATGAGAATATTTTCTTTTGTGGATTCTTACAGGGAAGTCTGAGCTTAAGCATTTATACTTGTAGTCCGAATGTGGTTTCTAAGTAAGATGCTATGCTATAGTAAAAGAAAGGATATTAATCATACTTAATTTTGGTTTTATTTGGAGCTGATTTGAGGTGTTTGGGATTGAATTTTTAAAGACCCGTTGTTGTTGAGCTTGAAGCTTTTGAATTGAAATTTCAAAATTAAGATTCGTTGTTTGATTCAAAGTAGATATTTTTAAAAGTTATTTATAGTATCTTTAGAAAGTTCATACTGGAGATTCTTGGAGATTTATTACTATAATAAATCAAATACATAATTGAAGGACCTTGAAGATGGAAACTCATGTAATGGGCTTGTTGAGTTTGTAGTTGTTTGATCTGATTCTGCTTGGGGTTTGTTAATGTTAATTAGAAGTTGTAGCAAAAGCTTGAACCAATTTGGTGGAGAATTTCCAGTAAAGTTGTAAAATTTGGGCTGAAATTAAGTTGAACTAGCGAAGAAGATGGATTTTGTACTATATAACAAAATGGTATACATGTATACCACTTTAGTATATAATTTTTAATTAATACGATTTATTCCAACAATATATCTTATAATATACAGTATAGTGTAATAGTATACCGTTATAATTTGGTCCTTTTAAATTTATTGAATTTTTTTATTGGAATCTTTTTAAATGTTCAACGGAGTTTTCATGCCTTTTTCAAATTTTTATTAAACAAAAATATTTACTTTTAAATGTCGAATGGAGGTCGTGGCTAAAGTTGAGTCAATTTGGTTTTTTTTTTTTTGCACTAGAGTTGTGAATGTTGGGTTGAACTTGAGTTGAACTTGCGAAAAAGATGAATTTATAATATATACCAAATTAGTATACATGTATACCGGTTTGGTATCATAGATGACTGAGCTCTTTTTTCAAGGAATGAACCATACCTATATCATGTCAGTAATGATATATACCATGTGGGTATCATATAGGAATGACGAGTATTTTTTTAATTAAATGAATGAATCAGTCCTCTATGATACCCTGTTAGTATATGATATATACTAGGTTGGTATCTTTTTCATTAGAACCTTTTTCAATGTTTCAATAGAATTTTCACGCCTTTTTTAAAAAAATTTCTTAAACAAAAACACTTAGTTTGAAATGTTGAATGGAGGCTGTGGCCAAATTTTGAGTTAATGTGGTGGAGATTTTGCACTAGAGTGGTGAAGTTTGAGTTGAAATGATGTTGAGGTAGCGAAGTAGATGAATTTGTTTATATACCAAAATGGATACTTGTATATCAATTTGGTATCATAGAGGACTGGGCCTTTTGTGAATGAATGTTTACTATATTAGTTATATTTTATTGAAGTATAAAATAAAGAAGAATAAAGAAAGGGAAGGAAAAAAGAAGTGAAGGTGATTAGATTATGTAGGGAAAAAAGAGTTAAAAATTTTGAAAAGAAATAAAGAAAAATGAACAAAAGGAAAGAAATAAGTTTTAAAATAAAATTATACATATTTTGAAAGCATTAGCAAATTCAGAATCTGTGTTCTTACAACCATTGCTTCTAAAAGCTATGAAGTTAAATCTCACAACCATTGCTTTCACTCTCTCTTCTTCTCACATCTTCTACATATGCTTTAAGGGGCCGTGTATTTTCTGCTTCTCCCCTTATTTGCAATGTCAGAAAATTAAAGGTAGAAGTCCACCATTGAAGGCCATTCAAAGCTTTGCTTTCGAAAATAGGATTTTTTGAGTTTGTTAGTGTTTGGATTGGGTGTTGTTCCAATTGATTGAAAATATCAAAAGGAGTTCAAAATTTAAATTTGAAGTGATTTGGAGTAGATTTGAGCAAGATTTGTGTTAAATTTCAGAAAAGACGCAAGGTAGAAGACGAAGTTAGTTTTTTGTATAATCTTGTATAATAGTGTATATGAGTGTATAAACACATCTTATACACTATTATACACTTTTATACACCTTTATACAATCATCTGTAGACGAACTTCTTCCACGATTTTCGTTTGCAATTCATGTTCAAAACCAATCCAAATCTTCATTAAATGACTTCAAATTTTATATACAACCTCCTTATACTATTTCTAACAATTCTAAAGAACACCCACTCTAAATTTCTCACAAAATCTAATCCGAAATTTAAACCCACATATTTAAGCTTGTTAAAAATCTAATTTTCACCACCCAAATGGATTTGATTTGTTGAACTAATATTCGAGTCACAGTTACTGATTCAAAAATTAACTTAAAAGTTTGAGCAATCTTTTTCAAAAATTAAATAGTAATTTCAAGAATCTACTGGAGTTGAATGTTGAGTAGTAGCCTATTATTTTTGGGCTAGTCGGTTGTAAATTAAAATATGGACTATAATATTGAAAAGTAGGGAGTCCAGTTGTTTTTATGTGAAATTTTCCCCAAGTTAAAATATATTGATAGTGTAATTATTTTTTTTTTGTACCGTTAAGAAAAACGTTATTTTCGAATTTGAAATGACTTTATTTCTCCAATAGAAGGCCAGATGTAAATATTTTTCTGGAAAATACAATTTATTCATCATTAAACACTACCTCACCAAATTTATGAGGTTTTAACATATAGTAACAAATTCACAACTAAGACTTTCCATATACACCCAAAATAACCCAACGGTAAATTCATACACTATCTCTATAAATATTGCTAGTAATTTCCCCCTAATAAAACCCTTGAAATTCTCCTAATTGTTTACCATATTTCTCTGAATTTTTCACTCTTCTTTTTGAGTTTCTGAAATCATGGAATATCCTTTATATATTAGCTTTTTATTTCTGATTTTCTTGGAATTTTTCTGCTCATCTCAAGCTTATACATTCCATGCTGGTGGCAAAAATGGTTGGATTTTAAAGCCTTTTGAATCATACAATCATTGGGCTGAACGAAATCGCTTTCAAGTCAATGATACTATTGGTATACATACACACGCGAATTCATGATTTTAATTATTTGAAATTTTTAGTACTGAATATGTTCAGAATTTAATATTTTTTGAAACTTTGTTATTTTTCACACACACATATTTATATTACGTGTTAGATCATATTAACACTAAGGCTACATCCGCTACTAAATACATATATATATACCTTTTTTGTATAGGTGTTACATGTATCAATGTATTATTCTAACATATTGACGTGGTGGGCAACTTGTCTTATTTTTTAGGTTATAGTCTAACTTTGTTTGCACATAATTATTGTCAGAGGCGGATGTAGTGTTCGAACCACGGGTCCAACTGAACTCATAACTTTCGACGCGGAGTAAAAATTTATATAAAAAAATTCATTAAAAATTGTAAATATTGTAAATATGAACCCAAAAAAATAATGGGTTCAATGCTAAAAACCTTTCAAGTTGAACCCATAGAATTTAAATCTTGAATCCGCCTCTGATTATTGTAGTTATTTCTTAAATAATCTTATAATGTTTTACACTATCAGAGCATATAGTTAATTTCATTTATTTATTATTTTATTCTTTTTAGATTTTTCTTGTTTAAATGAGTTGATTTCTTGATTTTTTTTTTCTCATTATAGTTTTCAAGTACAAGAAAGGCCATGATTCAGTTCTCATAGTTCACAAAGATGATTACATCAAATGCAAAAAGAACAAGCCAATTCATGCTTTCAAAAATGGTCATTCCAAATTCAAGTTTCCAAAATCAGGTCCATTCTATTTCATAAGTGGCCATGCTGATAATTGCAAAAATGGCCAGAAATTAATTGTTGTTGTGTTATCTCCCAATCACAATAAGACATCTGTCGAAACGTCGTCGCCTTCACCAGCACCAGCTCCTACAAAATCAGCTGCAGCTAGTATTATGGGTGGTTCAAGTGGTTTAGTTTGGTTCTTTAGTTTGATAATGGCAGCAATTTTTAGTAACTTGGTTTAATTGTTTATGTGGTTTAGTTTATTTTTTATGTCGTTTCATTTGTTTGATTTGGATGGTTTATAGGAAAGATAGTTACTGTCTATTTTCCTTTTTCATTTGGTTTATTACTATGTTTTGATTGATAAAAATGGTGCGTCAAACTAAATAATTTAACTTTAAACGTTCTGGATTAGTGTATGCAAGTCCTTTCAACTTTGTCACCGAATTT